CGCGAACTGTGAGCCTCCTAGGGAATCAACTCACGCAAACCATCTACCTTTGGCACACATAGCCTACCTTACATTCGTAATACGCTGTCATCTCCAATAGTGACCTCCTTAGCATCACAGTGCTGAACCGTGTCCTTAAGGACAAACAGATGGGGATCGTCATAGAGACGCTCTTTGATACGATCATGAAGAGAAGAAGAAACCACACAAGCCAAAACTCAACCCGGCTCAGAAAAATCCAATCTAACAAACTGGTTGGCCAAGGTCTGAACATCTAATGCTAATGGCCTCTCCGCTACCAGTAGATATGCTAAACTACCCAAACTCTCTGCCTTACGATTCAAGGCATCAACCACCATATTGGTCTTCCCAAGATGATATAAAATAATGATATCATAATCCTTAAGCAACTCTAACCACCTTCCCTGATGCAAGTTAAGATCCTTCTATTAGAACAAATGCTGCAAACTCCGGTGATCGGTGTAGATCTTGCAACGAACACCGTACAAATAGTGCTGCCAAATCTTCAAGGCATGAACAATAGCACTAAGTCAAGGTCATGGACAGGGTAGTTCTGCCCATGCATTTTCAACTTTCTAGACGCATAGGGAATCACCCTACCATCCTGCATCAATATTGCACCGAGACCAATACACGATGCATCATAATACACAGTATAAGATGCCAAAATTGTAGGCAATACTAACACTATGGCTATAGTCAAAGTAGTCTTGAGTTTTTAAAGCTCTCCTCATACTCCTCGGTCCACCTGAACGGAGCACCCTTCCGGGTCAATCTAGTCATAGGTGCTGCAATAGATGAGAAACCCTCTACAAATCGACGGTAATACCCTGCCAAACTAAGAAAACTCCGGATCTCCGTAATTGAAGACGGTATGGGTCAACTCTTACTACTTCAATCTTCTTCGGACCTACCTTGATCCCCTCACTCGACACTACATGGCCCAAAATGCTATCGAATCAAGCCAGAATTCACACTTTAAATTTTTTGCATATAACTACTTTCAAGGTCTGGAGCACGGTCGTCAAGTGCTGCTCATGATCCTCCTGGCTCCAGGAATACACCAGAATGTCAACAATAAACACAATGACGAATGAGTCAAGATAGGGCTAAAATACATTGTTCGTCAAGTGCATGAATGTTGTTGGGGTGTTGGTCAGCCCAAATGACATCACAAAGAACTTGTAATGACCATACCGAGTCCTGAAGGCTGTCTTTGGGTTATCTGGCTCTCGAATCTTCAACTGATGATAGCCTAAACAAAAGTAAATTTTGGAGAACACTCTGGCACCCTGTAGCTAGTCAAATAGGTCACCAATACGTGTCAATGGATACATGTTCTTCACTGTAACCTTGTTCAACTGGCAATAATCAATACACATACGTATAGAACTATCCTTCTTCTTTAAAAACAAGACTGGAGCACCTCAAGACAACACATGGGCTGAATGAAGTCCTTATTAAGCAATTCTTGCAACTGCTCCTTTAATTCTTTCAACTCTGCTAGGACCATACAATAGGGTGGGATAAAAATGGGTTGAGTGTCCGATAACAAATCAATGCCAAAATTGTCATCCTTGTGGGGCGGCATGCTCGGAAGATCCACCGAAAATACATCTGGATAATCTCTCACTACCGGAACTAACTCCATGGTAGGAGTATCAACATTGACATCCCTCACGAAGGCTAGATAAGCATTACATCCCTTATTAACCATGCGTTGAGCCTTTAGAAATGAGATAAGCATGCTAGGAACATAATCTAAAGCACCTCTCCACTCTAATCATGGTAATCCTGGCATAGCCAGCGTCATGATCATGGCATGGCAATCGAGAATAGCATGATAGGGCGACAATCAGTCCATGCCCAAAATAATATCAAAATTTACCATACTGAGCAACAATAGATCGGCTTTGGTCTCAAAACCACCAAGAACAACTAAACACGACTGATACACACGGTCAAGAACAATATAATCTCCCATAGATGTAGACACATAGATAGGAGAACTCAAAGAATCACGAGATACACCCAAATATGGAGCAAAATAAGATGACACTTATGAATAAGTAGAGCCTGGATCAAATAAGACTGATGCATCTATATGACAGACCAGAACAATACATGTGATGATAGAGTCGGATGCAACTGCCTTCGACCTAGCAGGAAGAGCATAATATCTGGCCTAGCCTCCCCCTTTAGGGCGACCTCTACCCGCTCGACCTCCACCTCAAGCTGGCTGTGCAGGAGGAGTGGTAGTTAGTGCTGTAACCATGGCTTGAGGACCTGGTAGAGCACGCGGAGCCTGAGTAGTCTGTGGAGGTGCACGCCTCCTGAGTCTGGGGCAATCCCTCACCATATGAGAAGTGTCACCACACTCAAAATAAGCTCTCGGAGGACAAGGCTCTTGTGGTTGGCTCGGGCCTGATCGACTAGACTAACCAATGAAACCACCCCGTACATGAGGTGTACTAGACAATGGTGGTGCATAATAGGGAGCTTGAAGCCTAGGAGTGGCCGAAATACCGCTAGAAAGTGGAAGTGCTGAATAAATAGGGTGACTCACAGAGCCCCTACCATGACAAGCTGCAACCGGGGCACGGGTACCATTATATATGCCAAAATCTCGAGGCCTCTTGGCCTCCCTCTCCTCTCTATCTTGAGTCCACATATCCTCCAATCTCCTAAAGATCCCCACTATATGTTTGTATGCAATGTCCATCTCCAACTCTCGGACCATGATAAATCTGATACCGGGGTTGAGCCCCTCGATAAATCGACGGACTCGCTCTCTAAGAGTAGCGACCAAGGCTGGTGCATGCCTAGCCAAATCACTGAATCATACTGCATTCTCCAACACGATCATAGAACCCTAACACAACTGCTCAAACTTTATGCGACATGCATCTCTGAGATTCTGGGGAACAAACTCCCTCAAGAACATATCTGAGAACTGAGTCCAAGTGAGTGAAGCCGCCTCGACTGGACTACCCAACTCATATGCTCGCCATCACTGATAAGTCGCTCCTTTAAGCTGGAACGTAATGAAAGCAACCTCGCTAGACTCCACAATACCCATAGTATGGAGGATACAGTGGCACTCCTCAGGAAAACCCTGGGCATCCTCTTATGCCAATCCGCTGAAAGTATGAGGGTGGTACTTCTTATACCTCTCAAGCCTGAGCTGCTCCCCCTCAGAAACTGCTGCCCTAACCTTGGGCTGAACTGGGGTGACCAATTGTACTGGTATGACCTCTAGGACCTGATTAACCTGGACCCGCTGCTTAGGGGTACGGGTGGCGAGAGAATGTGCTCCTCCCTTGGCCTGAGATATGGCAGGAGCAAGTGGAATGAAGCCTAACTGAGCTAAAATGCCAAATATACTCAGAAATTGGGCGAGAGTCTCTTGGAGAGCTGGTGCAGTAACAGGCGTCTCAGGTGCCTACTCTCCAACTAAAGCTACTGGTGGCTCCTCTGTAGCAGCTCGTGCGGGTGCTCTGGCTGCACCACTTGGATGTCCTCAGCCTCTACCCCAGCTCCGACCTCTCACGGCTCTAGCAGGGAGCATAAGTGTCTGGTCATCTGATCAAGTTGTACGTGTCCTCACCATCTGTGAGAGAATAGAAAGACAGAAATTTAGAATCCTGAAGTCAACAAATTTCGCACAATAAGGAATCAAAGAAAGATATTATTCCTAACAATTTCATAGCAACCTGAAGATAAGTACAATGTCTTTGTACTAATCCGCGAGACTCTACTAAACCTGCTTGTGACGCATAACACTTATAAGTCCTAAGTGTTTTTTATCGTCTCCTTAGAATTTTTGCCTTTTAAAACCTTAGGGATACATCTAGAACCACCTATAGTTAGAGGTCCTAACTCCCTCCAGGACCATTAAGAAGGGACGGGTAGCAGCACACAATAGAAATCGTTGACCAAACACTCGCTTTGCATGACCAATAAGGGAAACAGGGGGACTATCTGTATAGGTTAAATATGGTATGACACGTGGTCATCTAAAGGAAAGACACGTGGAACCTAAGATGGGGATGGCCGAAGACCGAATGCAGCTATTCCGCTTGTCGCCGGTTGGTTTTGCCATCAGCTTCAGGTTCATATACTGTGTATTGTGATGCTTCGAAAGTTGGGATTGGTTGTGTGTTGATGCAGGAGGGTAGAGTTATTGCTTATGCTTCTCGTCGGTTGAAGCCCCATGAGAAGAACTACCCCGTCCACGATTTAGAGTTGGCTGCCATAGTTCATGCATTGAAGATTTGGAGGCATTACTTGTATGGCGTATCTTGTGAAGTGTTCACTGATCATCGCATATATATATATATATGTG